GTGACAACGAGATTCCTCCGACAATTCGTCTGTCTCGATTATCCTCGCTGCTGTCGAGTAAAAAATGGTCGAGTAGATAACGAACGAATAGATGTTCGAACGTAGAACACGTCTCTGAAAACTCTCGGGGATTCGATAAACGGATTAAAAATGATCGCCTCTTATATAATTTATATGATTTATGCGTGTAAATAAGCGAATATACGGGCCGTTTTACGATGGACAAGAATAAAACGCGAGTCGTTTTATGAATGATGAAAGCTCGGGGAACAACGACGAGGGACGAGACGAGGAGGAAACGAATAATAATACGAGGCTTAATGGCCGATGCAGACGAGCGATCAGGAGTCGTGATTTTGCGATTAGCCAGATTTAACCCTTTTACAACGCGCAACCAGAGAGAGAGAGAGAGACGAACGAACTGGACAATTCCCTCGAATTTTAACTCAACATCGAAATGATAAATAATACGCAACATTTCGTATTGGAAACGACGTTGAAAAATTTTCACGATAATTATTATATAACGATTATTATTATTATTATTATAATTTTGTATCGAATCGATCGAGAATATAATATAACGCGGATGGAGGAGTATCGATCGAATACGAACGGAATTTTTTAATGTCAAACTCGTATATAGGTCATTTCCAATATTCCATGTTATTTTAATATCGTACAGGAAATGTTGGACAGGAATGAGTATCCATTTTCCTAGCGTGAATTTTTTATTTTTATTTTTTCCCAAGCCTGCAAACTACGAGCTTCGTGTTTCCAATATCCAGCAATTTTTCTATCCACGAGAATAATAACACGCGATCGAAGGAAATTGTCACGATCGTGAAAACGAGACAGCTCGAAACATGACATCCAAATCTCCCCCAACGAGGGGCAGGGAGAGGCTTCCTCGCCAGGGTTGCGAGGGCTGTTGTTGCCTCGAGATGCGAATCTTCAAGGCCTGCTCGAGGCCTGCATTCCGCTTTTACCACTTTCCTGCTCACGTGCGCCGGAACAAGCGCAACCCGGGGAACCTGTTTCGTCGGCCCTGCCGGTTTTTTCCACATCCCCCTTCCCCGATCGCGTGATACACGACCACACGCCGAACCCAACTTTTCCCCGTTGGTAAACATTATAATTTATCGATCCTCGCGCCCGATCGTGATCTATCCGGGTTACCGTGCTCTCCATATAATATAACAAACCTCGAGAAGAACGTTCTCTGATCGTTTCTATCGAACAATCGTGCGCGATCATTAATTTTCAGGCGTTTCTCTTCGAATAAGAGGGAGCATTAACCCTTTCGTTAGATATTTTTGTATATTTTCCAATATACGTCAAAGCAACTCGAATTTCTCGAGCAAAGGAAGGTTAAGGAAAAGGGTATAGTTTTTCGAAGAAGGAATGGAAGAAAGGCGGAGGAAAGCGGAATAAAGAAAGGAGGCTGCAAAATTAAAAGGAGCATAGAGGAGGGCGATAGAGGAGCACTTTCTAGCCGTATCGGGCTTCATTAGTTCGTGCCCCTTTCCATCCTCCCTCCCCTCCGTCGTTCGAAAGTCCCCGCGGAGAGCGTTCCACTTGGCGATGGATCGGTGACACGTATAATTTTCTCCGCGGGATATTACGCCTTTAATTCGACAACTGAACCGTGTCCATCCACGTGAGAACTAGTTCCTTGCTCGAGTCGCGAGGAACCGGAAAAAGAGAAAACGAGATTTCCATTCTGCGCCTCCAACCCGATTCGATTCAGATTCTATTTCTTCCTCGGTCTCGATACTTTTCGTTGTTCTTATTATTCTCTATCTTTCTGCCCGCTCTTTCTTCCGAGTTAATTATTTACTTATCATCAGCCGTCGATTGATTAATTATTAGAATTCCGTTCGCGATATTTGGATTGTATATATATATAATTATCCACGATAAAGAAATATTAAATCTACGTACAATTGTTTCGAGAGAGATGGAATATCGAATGAATCCGAGAAAATAGTTTATTTCCCCGACTCGTTGGGGGGAAAAAGTTTGAGCGAAAATCGGGAATTTCAAGGGACGAGGAAAGTTGGGTGGCTCGTTAATTAAGCCTCTTAGAGGGGAGTCGGTTCGTGGGATCGATAACGGCGATCGGAAACCGGTAGCTCGGCCAAAGTTTGGGGCCAAGTCTCGGATGAATCCCCGTGGGAATATCGCGTGTAAGGTGTTACGTTGAGGAAGAATGAGGAGAAGAGATAAAAGGAAGGGGCGAACTCTTCCAAAGTGGAAGAGAATTAAAAGGAATCCTGGTTTCTATCGATATTAAATATATTTCTTTTCAATCGCTTTACAAACACTCGTAGTTTAAAAATAACACTCCTAAAGATTCCGTCTTTTCAAGGATTCAAATCGATCCCTTAATCCCTTCGCGTTTAAGGCGCGAAATAAACAGACCAGAGATGCTCGAAAACAATACGAGTCGAAATCATAAATATGATGTAGTTATTTGCGATACATCTCTTGCAAACAATAATTCTTTTTGCTTTTATAAATCTATTATTTTTTAATATTTTAACAGGAGTTTCACAGTCTTCTGAGCGTCTTCAAGTGTCGTTCTTTGTTCTAAGGAGTGTAATAAATACTACGCCTAAAAATGAATAGTATATTATAAACAAAAATGCTCATCTTGAATCAATATCTAACAGAAAAATACTTACTCTAAAATTTAATAGTTCCGCATGGTTTAGATGCTTTCTTGTACAAACACGCCATTGTCTCTATATAAATGTTTCGTATCATTTTACAAGGATTTATTCAAAAAATAAAATCTTACTTCGAAAAATAAAGTAGAAAATCACCAGCACGTTTGCTTTGCAACGTGGATTATAAGAATCGTGATCTTCTCGCGGCAAGAGCTAAGCCACGATTTAATCGCTGTTCACGTTTGGGCCGAAATCTTCGTCAGACTCGTTTTAATACGGGAGGGGGTTAACGATAACAAACAATCGCGAATTCTCGTTTCGATCCTCCGGGCTTAATAAAAAGCGGCCACGGGCTCGTACGTAACGTCGAATCGATCCCACGATCCGTCGCAAACGCAAGCGTGCACGGATCCAGGGCACAACAAATCGTGTTGGAAGAGCAAGTACACGCTGGTACCGGCGTCGCAGAAAAATCGGCAACGAGGGGGATATACTCGAGGAAGAAGGGATACCCGGACACCCGGTAACCGGCCAACGTCCCACATCAGCCGGGTAACGTCGTGTCGGAAACAATATCCACCTAAATCTGCCTATGAATCCAACTGGTATCGTTGCCTGATATCCATGAAACGCTCTCCTCTCCGCGGCCTCTCTCCCTCTTCCTCCCTCCCTTCCTCTCTCTCTCTCTCTCTCTCTCTCTTCTCTCG